GAGATTTATAAATCTCCTTTGTATCGAGAAATTTCTAGATTGATTTCAGTTCCTATCTCTAAATACTTTATATGGTATAAATGCAACATTGTCTATCTACATCAGTTGACGTGTTAAATCAATTTTGTGAAACGATTGTACAATAATGTACGAGTACAAGAGATAATTTTCAGCCACACAAAAATTGCATATGCTTATGTTTTGTGAATAGTTAAACAAGAGGACCATAACGACTATGAAGTTAGAATAATAAAACTTCTACTTGATCCGAGACCAGACTTATTTATAGGGAGCTCCACCTGAATCTTTTTTATTGAAAAATAGAAAATATTCAAATTTCATAGAGTGTGATTTATTTTTAATCATACAGATTAAGAAAAAATGATGCAAATTAATGGAGACAAGCTTATAAAAAATCTTCAATATGGTGCAAACAAAATCGTCAAACGTAGATCTGATCATTGTAAGCGTGATGCATGCAATTAAAGCCTTAAGTCATGGATCTTCATAAGACCGAATTGACGAATTGTCGATATAACAATTATCATAGTTTGCAATGAATTAATAAATCAGTGTTAAACAAAAAAAGATAGATTTTACTCAAGCTGATAAACTCTAGTAAACCAGCATTAGAAAATAATCATCCGAAGACATTTTCTCGGTTTACATTATTACATATTCACTTGACTATTTACAGCAAATTACAATTCATTGGGCCAAATTCAATATTTAAGTCTTCATGCATAAAAAAAATTCAGCCTGTCTACTGTGTAGAATAAATTAACACACTGCATGCCATTGTCACACAAAAAGAAAAAGTGAAAAACAAATGAACAAAATAAGATTTTTAGATTTATTGGAACTAAGCCCACATAATATTTGTATACTAGGCCTCGGCCTTTAGGCTGGGTGTGGAACAGTTAACATTTTCCCTACCGACGTTCCTTTGTCTTCGTATGCATAAGCAAAGCTATATGGGTTTGGGTTGAACAACGCCAAAGACATTCCATTTCTTGAGTGTCACGGCTCCTTTATCTCCAAGAACAAAAAAAAAAGAAGAGAAAAAACGTTCGACTATGGAAAATAGTTGTTGGTAGTGCAAAAGCTTGGACTTGTTAACTTGGTCTATAAATTTTTATTCCATTCATGTTATTATATAATTTAATTCGAAAATTTTGCCTAGTCATAGCCTGTCATATTCTCTAGATTCATGAAATAATGCCACTGTTCTTTAAAATTATTTCAGTTTTCGTCATTAGGCTCTTTTGGGCACACAAATAAGCTAGTTTTGAGACTGCTATCAAAAGAAAAGTAAATTAATACTTAATATTACGAATCAGTAACTAAGAGGGTAAACTCTCGGCAAACACAAGAGTAACTAGTAAAAATAAGATAAAGGTCAACAACTCAGAGTTGAACACAAAAAAAAGGTCAACAACTCAGAATTGGGAAAGATTCTTCTTCATGGAGGCAAGACAACGAAATCCTATTATAAAATTATAGAGATTTGTATAATTCAGCCTCCAACTTATCGGGTACCTAATTTCCAGGCATTAAAATTGTAAAATACGTTTACGACTTTAGGTTATATCAACTAATCAAATATTTTAGATTATATATTCTCATCAGTCCCAGCTCCCGATTCAGTTAAATGCGTATTATCATATGTGCATTAACTACGACCTTTGGAGTATGTGCCTGTAAGGTAGATGAATGACTTGTTTATCCATCAACCAAAAAAAAGAGCAATTTCTTGACCAAAAAAAATAAAATAAACAAGAACAATCAAAAGAGGTAAATGTAAAATCTCATTTGACTCATTCATATTTAAACTAAATTAACCCTCAAAATATAGGGATTTATAAGCCATAGTACTATAAATTAGGTTAAATCACATGGACGATTATTGGTCGCTATATGACATGTTCCACGTTGGTCACAGCTCACACTGTCCCTCCCATTTTTGGTTCATATTAATCCATTAATCCATGTTCTTCCTCTCTCAACATTCGCATCTTTATCTTATCCTCTAGGTTTACATTTATTTTAGGTCCATTAAACCCAAATGTCTTGCGTTAAACGTTTCAGTCGAACTTAATTTTACTAGGTTTTACCGTCTTTGGCTTTGAGATTTATTATCCTCTAATTATATAAAAAATATATAAATATGATTGTAAAAGTCTTATACAGGATGTTTAATTTTTCGGGAACTTATCATATTGATCAATCATGTTAATCACGTTGACCTATAAAACTTGTTTCGGGATTCAATATTAAATACTATTTTGCAGCTTCACATTAATAGATTAATGAGTAATTTTAATCACGTATTTATACATATTTTTTTCAATCACTCATGTCGTTATCATCAACAGCTTCATAAAACCGGCCATGACGTAAAATAGTATGCAATAGAAAATAAGCCAATCATTAGAAGTTTAGAACTCATGTCCAACGCAGTACAAAAACTTATATTGTTAAAAAAAAGTAGTAATATTTCTATGCTCTGGTGTCAAGGAATCTGCTTCTGTATATATAGGAGGACATGCAAAAGGTCCTTTCGTGCTTTGCATTAGCAACTAATCTTCTTCTTCTTCTTCATTAAGACTAAAATTGTTTACATATAAAAGTTTATTCTTCACATCTTCAACTATGGCCGGTCTTGACTTTTCCTATGAAGAATCCTTTAAATTGGTCTCTTTGAAAGCTTACCTCGCCGAGTTCATCTCCACTTTGCTCTTTGTTTTCGCCGGCGTTGGCTCTGCCATTGCCTTTGGTTCGTTCTCTATCTCTCAGTCTGCACCATGTGCAACCTAAATACATTTAGAATTCCCCAATTTTGATTATATAAGATCGTTGACCAACCTAATAGGATGGAGATTTATCTATCGATTATTGTAAAGTTTTTTTGTGTGTTACTTCCATTATACCAAATAATTGATTTTTATCATGAAAATTTGTAATTTAACCGCCTAGTTTGTAATTAGTTAATAAGAAAAACGTAATTATGGGTCAACACTATATATATGAATGTGATAACAATTTGTATCGCATAGACAAACTGACGTTGACCAACCAAATACAATCGAAGTTAGCGAACCTTACGTATAGTTAATTGAGATGTATTTTTCACACTTTAACAAAAAAAAAAAAGAGATGTATTTTTCATTCGTGACATTGATCATATCAAAAATATTTGATATACTTTGTAATTATGAGTCATTACTTAACGAATGTGATAATTATTTGTATGAATTAGGGAAGCTAACGGAGAATGCGGCGCTTGATGCGTCCGGACTTGTGGCGATTGCGATTTGCCACGGTTTTGCACTCTTTGTGGCTGTGTCGATCGCAGCTAACCACTCCGGTGGTCATGTGAACCCAGCCGTCACTTTTGGCCTTGTTCTCGGCGGAAAACTGAAAATCGTCACCGGAGTTTTCTATTGGGTTGCTCAGCTTCTCGGCTCCACCTTGGCTTGCTACCTTCTCAAATATGTCACCGGTGGTTTGGTATGGTCGATTACTCACTAACTTCTTTATTTAAATATGTTTTCATTTTTAAATGCTAAAACGGAGTATTCATTTAGGAAAATTAGAAAATGCAATATATGATTTTCATAAGAAAAATCTACATTTTTATTTGGTAAAATTACCGTTTGTGAAGAAATTAATTTGTACGTCGTGGTTGGAATTTTTGTCTATAGGTAGGAACTTAATTTAGCTGTAAACTAAATTAAGTTACTACCGTACATTTGTGAAAATTCGTTTTACTTGAGTATTATTATTATATTAACAAACGCAAAATCTTGGAAAACGCAGGCGATTCCAATCCACAGCGTTGCGGCTGGAGTTGGGTCAATCCAAGGAGTGGTAATGGAAATCATAATCACATTCGCATTGGTCTACACCGTTTACGCTACAGCCATTGACCCAAAGAATGGCTCTCTAGGAACCATCGCTCCACTTGCTATCGGACTCATCGTCGGTGCTAACATTCTCGCCGCTGGTCCCTTCTCTGGTGGATCCATGAACCCTGCTCGTTCTTTTGGACCAGCTCTTGCGGCTGGTGACTTTTCAGGACACTGGGTCTATTGGGTTGGTCCACTTGTTGGTGGTGGATTCGCCGGAGTTATCTATTCTAACGCTTTTATCGCCGAATCCAGCACCGAGACCCAATCCGAGGAGCGTGTTCCTCTTATTTCCTCTGCTTAAATAAACTCTGATTATAAATGATGTCTTGTTTCTTTTCAAGTTTGGTTTTCTTAATTCAATCTTTTTACTTGTTCGAGTTTGGTTTGGTAATTGTATGAATATTTTTGTTGTTGTCAACTTATAAACTATATCTTAACATTAAAACCAAAAAAAAAAGAACTTATAAATTATATAATGAATGATACAAACCTACCAACAACAACTAACCTTAAAATCTAACATCACATGCATACACGGTACATAGACTATAGGCTCCACACTATTTCCAAGTTTTTTTTTGTTAATTTGATTAAATATCAATTGATTGTGAGGTTAAAAAAAAATCTATTCAGAAATTGTTTAGGATTTTCTTGTTGTATCCATGGGTTATATGTATGTCGAGCTTAAAATGTTGGTAAGGAAATTTTAAAAAATTCGCTCTTCGCTCCAGGGAGGGGTTGAACCTCCGACCTTGTGGTTAACAGCCACACGCTCTAACCAACTGAGCTACTGAAGCTGTTTGTTTTTTTAATCCCAGAATAATTTAATTGAGTATATATGTTAAACTTTAATGTGGGTAAACTTCAGGGTAAGGAAAATAAGAAACGTCCCAGGGAGGGTTTGAACCTCCGACCTTGTGGTTAACAGCCACACGCTCTAACCAACTGAGCTACTGAGACTTCATGATATTTTATCAAAATAATAAACTGATAGATTTATGTTGAGGTCTTTTGACTTGGTTCCTAAAACCCTATTGGCGAAAGAGGAAAACTTGAGTTTTTTATTTATTTCAGGTATGATAAAACACAATGCTCTATGTACCCAGAAACCTGCGCTTTCTCCTCTGTCGTCCTCTAAAGTCTTCTTCTTTCCTTCTCTCTCTCAGACCCTTTTCTCCACGATCCTTCTCTTCTTCGTCTCCAATGGAAAATAACGAAGCCAATAATGGTACCAAGTCTTCTGCTTTCCAGTTTAATAAGAGAAGAGCTGAAGGATTCGACAAAGTCGTTAAGACTAAGAAGAATCTCGAACGAAAAACCCGCAAGCTCAATTCCAACACTCTTGCTTACGCACAGGTTAACATTAACAACTTTCTCGTTTCCAATTTCTTTTGAAGTTTCTTTATTTTGTTGTTGAAAAATCATATTTTTTTTAAAAACCAAATTAGATCCTTGGAACGGGAATGGATACACAAGATACATCGTCTTCCGTATTACTCTTCTTTGACAAACAGAGATTCATCTTTAATGCTGGAGAGGTAATAATCTCTTTGCACAGATACTTCCTAACTTTTTCTGTATAGTATAGTATTATTCGTGATCACTCACTGGTCAATTTGTTGTATATTCAGGGCTTGCAACGTTTCTGTACAGAATATAAGATTAAACTATCAAAGGTTTGTATCACTAAACCTCCTCTGTTTCTGTTTCTGTGTGTAGTGTGTATGTATGTGATGAGATGAATTTAAAATTTGATGATTTGATGATTTGCTGAATTTGTTTACAGATAGATCATATATTTTTGTCTCGTGTCTGCTCAGAGACAGCAGGTGGACTTCCAGGTTTGTTCCAGCTCTGAATTGTATCTTTGTTGCATGACCTTTTAGTTTATGTTGATTCTTTTTTAAAAAAGTCTTGTTTTGATGTCATAGGTCTTTTACTAACTCTTGCTGGTATCGGTGAAGAAGGGCTTTCGGTGAGTATTCTGGTCATATTGTGTGTGTGTGTTGTGTTTCTTTGTGTATGAAATTGCTGAAATCGTCTTCATTGTTTTTGGTTACAAAAGGTGAATGTATGGGGTCCTTCAGATCTTAAGTTACTAGTTGATGCAATGACGTTTATTCCACGTGCGGCTATGGTTCATACGCGGAGCTTTGGTCCCTCGACTACACCTGATCCTATTGTTCTTGTGGATGACGAGGTTGTGAAAATATCCGCCATTACCTTAGAACCATCTCTCTCCGAGCAAGAATCTTGCGGCAAATCCGTTGTATATGTATGTGAGTTACCTGAAATAATGGGCAAGTTTGACATACAGAAGGCCAAGAATGTGTTTGGTGTAAAGCCTGGTCCAAAATATAGTATACTCCAGTCCGGAGAATCAGTGAAGTCAGATGAAAAGGATATAACGGTATGTTGGTGGATATCCTCGGACCATTAACTCGACTTTTCCCCCTCTTTGAGTGTATAGAATGATAATAGACTGTTTCATGCTTTGGTCCTTAGGTTTATCCGAGTGATGTGATAGGACCTTCAGTTCCTGGTCCCGTTGTTCTCCTTGTGGACTGTCCAACAGAGTCACACGCCAAAGAACTGTTCTCAGTGAAGTCGTTTGAGAGTTATTATTCGTGTCCTGACAGTCAAACCGGTGAGACAAAGTCTGTAGATTGCATCATACATTTGAGCCCGTCTTCTGTGACAACTAGTCCTACTTACCAAAGCTGGATGGAGAAGTTTCATTCGACGACTCAGCACATTCTCGCTGGGCATCAAAGGTTGCTCGCTCCTCTTCTTCTCCTGGTTGTTTCTTCATCGAAAACTGTTTGTTAAATGCCAATGTTTTTTGTTTTGGTGTATTTTTTATCAGTAAGAATATGGAGTTTCCAATTCTGAAAGCAAGTTCAAGAATCGCCGCAAGACTTAACTACTTGTGTCCACAGTTTTTTCCTGCTCCTGGCTTTTGGCCTCCTCAACATGTTACTGATTTCAAACCTGTAGGCGAGGTTGCTAAATGCTTTTCTCATACATTTTCTTTCGTAGCGTTTTGATTCGTTGAATTTTGTTAAGTAATGCTGTGTATTGTTCTTCTCCTTACAGTTCTCGAGTTCAAATCTTGGTAAAAGCATTCCTGCTGCAAATCTCCTTAAGGTATTCGACATTCTAAGACACTTTGGGTTTCAAATCTTGAAGACTCGTTTTATAAACCAAACCTATCTTTAGCTCTTGAAATCAACTTGTCTGTTAATATTTTTTCTTTACTGTTTGCAGTTCACTTTGCGTCCTTATGCTAATCTCGGGATCGACAGATCTTGTATCCCTCCACAGTTGACATCCTCACAAGTAGTGGATGAGCTACTTTCAGAAATCCCCGAGATTCAAGATAAAACTGAAGAAATCAAGCAGTTATGGAACAGACAACACAACAAGAATGGGAGCAACGAGACTGATCTTCCAAGCTCTCTTAAAAACATTAGACGCGATGACATGGAGATTGTACTTCTAGGCACCGGGTCGTCTCAGCCTTCCAATTACCGGAACGTCACTGCGATTTACATTGACTTGTTCTCTAGAGGCGGTCTTCTCCTAGACTGCGGCGAAGGAACCTTAGGCCAGCTTAAAAGAAGATACGGTTTAGATGACGCGGATGAGGCTGTTCGAAAACTGAGATGTATATGGATCTCTCACATCCACGCCGATCACCACGCGGGTCTTGCCAGGATCCTAGCTCTCAGATGCAAGCTTCTGAAAGGAGTGGCTCACGAGCCAGCGATTGTGGTTGGACCGAGGTCGCTTAAACGGTTTCTTGATGCATATCAAAGACTCGAGGACTTAGACATGGAGTTTCTCGATTGTAGAAGCACCACAACGACTTCTTGGGCATCTTTAGAAAGCAATGAAGAGGGTTCTTTGTTTAGTGAAGGAAGTCCTATGCAGAGTGTCTTCAAAAGATCTGATATACCGATGGATGCTCTGCCATGTTTAAAGAATCTGAAGAAGGTTCTTGGCGAAATCGGTGTGGAGGATTTGATTAGTTTCCCTGTTGTTCATTGTCCTCAAGCCTTTGGTGTCGTTGTAAAAGCAAAGGAAAGATTAAACAGCGTTGGAGAAACAATCCCTGGATGGAAGATGGTTTATTCAGGCGACACAAGGCCTTGTCCTGAGACCATCGAAGCATCACGAGATGCAACAGTTCTTATACACGAGGTGAAGAAAGTTTTAAGCTTTTATTTACATAACTATTACTCTGATTTATATAAGAGAGATTCTTACAACGCTCTTGTCATTTTTTTACAGGCGACTTTTGAAGATGATTTGATAGAAGAAGCTTTGGCAAAGAATCACAGCACCACTAAAGAAGCGATCGAGATTGGATCTTCGGCTGGTGTGTATCGGATTGTTTTAACGCATTTTAGCCAGAGATATCCCAAGATTCCGGTGATTGATGAGTCGAATATGCATAACACTTGCATTGCCTTTGATTTGATGAGCATAAACATGGCGGATTTGCAAGTGCTTCCTCAGGTGTTACCGTATTTCAAGACTTTGTTTAAAGATGAGATGGTTGAGGAAGAGGATGCAGATGATGTCGCCATGGAAGAAGCCTTGTGATTGTGATTGATCCATCAAACAGTGCAATAGGTTTGTTAGCTTTTTATTTCTTGTTCGTTTGTTCATTGTTCATTGAGTTTTATAGGACTAGGACAGTTTTTTTCTTGTGGTTTGAAGAAAAGCAAGAGGAAATCAATTAGTTTTGACATTTTGTCATATTACCATTTTCAATTTTAATTATGAGGAAATTTTGTTCTATAGTTTTTGATACTTACCTTTCTCTAAATGTGTTTCGTTTGTATAGATATATAAGAAGCACTATGTTTACATTCTCATTTGAAGCATTATACTCTTAACTAAATTTGGCAACTATACAAGAAAATGAAGTTTTATTTCTCTATGAGATACTCAAAGGAGAGAAAAACAAAACTAAAAGATGTAAATCGAGGAAGAAAAGGTTGTGAGAATAGAACATTGCAGTTGCTGAGGAAGCACCTTTTGTTAATCTGAGATTAAACTCTGTTTTTTTTCTGTTGATCTTTTTTACTCTGTTTAGGAAGATAAAAGAAAAGGAAAATGCTATCGCGGATGCTGAATTATCACTAAAACTGAATCTTTTTGCCTTTCGTACTTCTTCGAATACGGAATTGGCTGCAAAAGAGAGATATAAACTTCAGGCTTGATGATCCAATGTTACAAGAGTATATATACATGAAAATGACTTACCACTCCAATGTTCCATTCTTGACTTCTGAATTCTTTGAAAGTTTTTACATCCATTTCCTGAAAGATTAGTATATAGAGTAGCATAAGTAGAACATTACTCAAACCAAAAATATAGCTTTTAATTCTGTGTGACACTTACCATGCTATAAATGGGAGGAATGATTGTATTCTCATTGGGTTTTAGTGTAGGCATTACAGAGAACCGTGGTGCCATGTCCTGAGACCTGAAAGTCCAACTGCCAAAAGTTTAGTTTTCAAGCTTTATTAGTCCCATTGTCTTAAGAACAGAGATGTGCTTCTTGAGAGAAGTGAGATTATAACTTACCCAATATAGAGAAAAATGCAGAACTGAGCCCATTCTCGAATTAGTAACCGTAGCCAATAGTTCTGTGAGGAGTTATCCATGTTCATATATATCTGCAAGGTCACTACGAGTAAGCGACAAAGAAGCAAGCAAATCCAATATGACTGTGAAATGAAACATATAAAAAAAATTGATCATACCACAGTTTCTGCCATAGCTACAATCTGCATAGCTCCTTGAAATTTTCTGAAACACACAAAATGAAACGAAACTCTTACTTAGCAGCTTATCTATTTCCATCTACCACGAAACCGAGTATAGAAAAACGTACTTGAACATGATATATTTAGCATAGACAGCATCATGCATAGCTTGAACATTCTCATCCTCAATGAAACTAAGCTGTTCTCGTAACACCGATAAGTTTTGCGATATGTGGTGGAAGATAACATAGAATGAGATCATGTAGTTAAGTATCAGAAGCACCTAGAGAAAGCAAAAAAAGATTGGTTCATCATCATCATCATCATCATCTGGTAAGTAAGTAAAAACAGTAAGCTTTAAATGGAGTGAGTGAAAAAAAAAACTCACTGCGAAATAAGGAACAGAAGCTCGGTATCCAACAAGAGTCAAGTAAAAGACACAACCAAGTGAAGCTGTGGTTCTACGTTCGGTCAACGAGAGACGTTCACATGTGATGCAATAACCGTGAGAGATGAGTAAAAAAGACACAAATGAAGCTGTCTGAAACAGAACACCAGTCACGTATACACCAAAAGACATCCAAAGAGAGCATATTTGATGGTGAAAACATGAATGCCTGCCACCGAAAACCGGTTCACCCAATTAATATATCGATAGAGACTTCGAAAACGATCTATTAAAATTGGTATTAAAGAGAAAAGCTTTCTCAATTTGCGAAAGGAACATTAATGGAATTAATAACTTCACAAAAGCTTAAAGTAGAGAAGACTTACCAAAAGAGGAAAGATAGAGTTAGCTGTAATGCTTTGATTAATGGAACAGAAGCAAGAGTCCATTGTAAACTATTTGTCTGCTCTAAAACAACACAGAACCAAATCAAATTCACGGTAGCAATGTTTTAAAAAGGCAAAACAAAACAGAGAATCGTCTAAATTCCCGTAACATCTGCAAAATCCGATTGAATTTAAAACAACAAGTGAAGTGAGCAATGAAGGAAGTTTTTTCAATAGGTGAAAGTTAAACACGCGATATTTGGAATTGGGAAGAAATTTGATCTACCCAAGAGTGAAAAATCGGAGCTTTCAATCGAAATCACGACAGAGATTAGAAGAGATATTGACCTGAAAATGGCGATTTTTGAAAGTGTTAACCGTCCAGGAACAAGCGGAGAGAGACCAGATCGATAAAAAAGTTAAGTAGAGAACTGGGAGATGACGATATGAATCATCGACGCCATTGATGCCGTGAGATTCTTCCATTAAAAAAAAAAAGGAAGCTTAATCTCGGAGAAGAGCGAGAATCGTTTCTGTAAAACCTTTTGAAGGAAATTTCTGTTTTTGATTTTTTGAAAGCTTCACATTTCTGTTGGGGGTTCTTAATTCTCTATATATGAATCTCTTTACTATTGACACTTGTCTTTTTTCCTTTAATTCGGATAAACCAATTAAACAATTGATATTTTAATTGAGATTTAACTGCTGCCGTTAGATTAACTCCACTAATGTCGAAAAAAAGAAAGATATTAATTCCACTAATATCTCCCACCAGTTAGTAGTATTCAGTTACATTTCATGTATTAAAATTGCGAGTATTTAGTTTTATTTAACTTTTTAATCGTACTAATCTGAATTGATTTTTATCATAAATTGTAAATGATTGATGCAAACAATTTTCTTTGTTAACTTTTAGCTGATTGTATATATACAAGTAGAACAAATAATATATGTAGGTAAAACATTTTCTTCATTTTTAATATTTAAAATTAATTAAGAAGTGTATTTTATTGTTTTAAGTCGTCGAGAATTTCGGTGAGCATAAAAAGAAGGTGGAGGAGAGAGCAGACATGCGAACAAAATGGCCATTCAACTAACCCACTCTCTCCATTTTTTTGTCGTTGAGTTTTGATCACCAAAACCTTTTAATCTCCTATGTTTATTTTATTTTAGAAAAAAATGGCATTCTTTAAGAAATTTTGTTGACCGTTGTGACTTTATATTTTTTTTGTTATTTTATATTGCCTTCTGTTCTTTTAATTCCGTGGTACAGTTACCACGTAAATTATTTGGTTATTTTGTAATTTTTAAGATTAAAAAGGAACGTGGAAGACACTACACAACAAATCTAAAGTCAAAAACAACAAGTTTGGTGGGAAAATTAACTAATTTAAACAATAGCCGATTCATATATATTTGGACAAGTACTACAAGATTTATGTAGGGATATATGCAAGCATGTCACCTTTTTTTATAATAAGAATATTATATGCAATATATATTCATCATTATCCATCAGGAGTAGTATCATGGAGTGGACCGTGGACCATGTAAAACCTCAAGCTCTAAACGACGATGTGCATCGCATATGCATTCATTGGACCATGAACATGTTTCAATGAGAGCCCTTTCCTTTACTATTACTACTACTTTGGCTCTAATGGCGATAAATCAACTTGGTCTCCCTGAGGCTTTGAGCATCTAAGCTAGAGATATGGTCTGCTTGATTCTGACTTGCCTTTAGTAGGAGCTGTGACTTTTTTCTTTCCAAAACCCTAGTAAGTGTTTCTTTTGTCATATTTGACATTTGGAACAAATTTCTGAACTATTTTTCAAATTATGCATTAATTGGAGGTGGTGTGCATACGATGTATTTAGGTCATAGATACATGAGCAAAAACAGGAGAAGTTAAATCTTGAAAATACAGAGATTGCCCCAACTGATTTGGAAGTACCGTGAACAGTAAGCAATCATCTCTAAATTAGAGAAATGACTCCTGCAAAGAAAAACAAAACGCAAGCAGACAAAATCAAAAGTGAACGCCAAAGATGTCAGTGGAAAGATTCAGAATCATTTATCTAAATTCACCTCACCTGAAACGTAAACCCTAGATCAGAGGCCACATGGGACGACGATTCTCAAAAGCAAAAGTAAAAATGACGAAAATGGGCCTCAGTTTTGCACTAGCCCCGACATCTAATGGGCTGAACTAAATTTAGGCCTGATTTGTAGTTAACGGTCCAAAATTTTGATTAGAAGCTAGCTATAACATAATCAATGCCGCGTGTTTAGTCTATAGACTCTATAAATGGAGTTGGAAGTTGAAACTTGAACCCACTCAAAGTAGACAATTAATTCATCATGATAATACGCTCATACCAATTTTTTTTTGTACAGAAATAAGGGAGTAAATGTAAGAATAGGAAATAATATTTGAAATGAGTTTGACAAAAAAAAAAAAAAAATTACAAATTTGAGAAGGGAATAAAACGAAAAGAAAGAGGAAAGTAGTAGCTTGAGCTTTAAGACGGAGACGCATGCAAAGAAGGTCATGATGTTGTCTCTGCCTCCTACGCAGACCTCTCTCCCACGCCTTCCGTATTTTTATACGCTTCTGACCATCCCACTCCCGCTTCTTTATTACCCTCCATTCTCCACTTTTTTACATGTTTGCCACTGTCCCTACTTTCCTGGTGTAGCAACTACATTTGCTTCAAACCTCATTAATTTGATAATTTCATATCCCACAACCCAGACTTGGAGATTAAACATTAACAGAAAAATGCCTTAATTAAAGGATACTTCACATGTGAAGGGGGTATTTTAGACAATTTCTGTAAGGCAAACAAACCAAAAGAGAGATTTGGTTTTACGTTCGAGGTGTAATGTTGTGCTATGAGATGTGCCAATCAGAGAAACGAAAAAGTAAATAAATAAAAATGACAAAAGAGAATGCCAACGAAAAAGTTGATTCAAAAACGCAACACCACTATCAAATCATTATTTAAAAAAAAAAAAATTAAAATAGAATTGAATATTGAAAAAGCCAAAAAAATCAAAGTTGCCATGAATAAGCAGAGGAAAAAAAAAAGTATAGAGAGTAGATAACACCTAGCAACAGTGTAGCTCCATGATTTGTTTTCTACATACTGTACGTCTTCGCCTTCCTCCTTTCCTCTTTCTTTCCTCCTTTTGATTAAATTTCTAGGGTTTTCTTTATTCACGGGCGAGTTAAGGTGGTTTATTTTCAATGAGAGCTCGGAGACGGAGAATATGGGTTTGAGAGCTGGTATGGCTTCTTTTCGAGTTATCTGGGGAATCGGGCTTTCTAATGGCTGAGTCAACTCGGTGATTCTGTGTATCTGCTTTGTACCGTCACGAGAAAACAGAGTCAAAAAAAGGTTGTAGCTTTTCTTGTTTTTTTTAGGTGTGTGTGTGTTTTGTGTTTTTCTGTTACTTCCCCTTTTTTTATCTTTCAAGTGAATGGTCGAATCTTTTTTCGGTGTTTGCAAAAGCGGAAAAAAAGTTGTAATCTTGGGGGGAAAAACATAAAATCTTTTCTTGTGTTTTGGTATTTTTGCCCTTAAAAGTCGACGAGAAAAGGGATTATTAGTCTTGTGTCCCCTTTAGAGATTGCATGATAAAAAAGCCTCTGGTGATTTCGAAGTTTCAAGGAAATAAACTTCTTCGATAGTCTGAGGTAATGTGATTCAGATGCCACTCTACGCACACTTAGGATTTGAGATGGAATGGCACTGAGTATCTGTCTATAGGGTTTTAGATTTGGTAGTGGAAGTAAATTTGCTGACTTTGAAGATCTTCAAGCTGGAGTTTGTGTTGGATTAAGAAGCTCTGTCTCCTTCACGAAGTTGTGGGTTTAAGGTTGGATTCTGTTAGAAGAAAGGAGTAGTCTTTTGGTCATTTTGTGGATTCTGTGAAGTGAAGAAGGATAAGCTGTGAGGAGTGATGTCAATGTCTTGCAAGGATGGTAAGTTGGGATGTTTGGACAATGGGAAGTATGTGAGGTACACGCCTGAACAAGTTGAAGCACTTGAGAGGCTGTATCATGACTGTCCTAAACCGAGCTCTATTCGCCGTCAGCAGTTGATCAGAGAGTGTCCTATTCTCTCTAACATTGAGCCTAAACAGATCAAAGTGTGGTTTCAGAACCGAAGGTAACTAATACTTTTTTCTTGTAGTAAATGGAAGTTTCTTCGGTCTTCTCTCTATCTGAATCTTTGTTTTCATTTCTGTTATGAAATTCAGATGCAGAGAGAAACAGAGGAAAGAGGCTTCACGGCTTCAAGCTGTGAACCGGAAGTTGACGGCAATGAACAAGCTCTTGATGGAGGAGAATGATAGGTTGCAGAAGCAAGTGTCACAGCTGGTTCATGAAAACAGCTACTTCCGTCAACATACTCACAATGTGAGATTCCTATCTCAAATATTTGTTGAATGATAGTGTCATTTCGATGGAATGGATATTAATTTTGTTACTTTATTTGTTGCAGCCTTCACTTCCAGCTAAAGACACAAGCTGTGAATCGGTGGTGACGAGTGGTCAGCACCAATTAGCATCACAGAATCCTCCTAGAGATGCTAGTCCTGCAGGGTTAGTTCTTTAGTGGGGAATATGTCGCTATGTTAGACAAAACAATATCTTGATGCCATTATGTCTCAGAGACTAAACTTTTACACTTTGTGTGTTTCAGACTTTTGTCCATTGCAGAAGAAACTTTAGCAGAGTTTCTTTCAAAGGCAACTGGAACCGCTGTTGAGTGGGTACAGATGCCTGGAATGAAGGTATGCTCTTGATCCAGTTCCTCTAATTTTTGTCTTTATTTAATCACATAGTGTAAGATATCAAGGAGTTACTCTACTTCTCCTTAACGGTCTGCTATGTATTTCTGTAACAGCCTGGTCCGGATTCCATTGGAATCATTGCTATTTCTCACGGTTGCGCTGGTGTGGCAGCACGCGCCTGTGGCCTAGTGGGTCTCGAGCCTACAAGGGTAAGTGTAGACATAATCATTGCTATGCCTGATTTAATCCTATCTTTCTACTACTCTTACCTTACATATGTAGCACGATTGACTCGCTTCCTCTCTTTGTTTTCTTTCCAGGTCGCAGAGATCGTCAAGGATCGGCCTTCGTGGTTTCGCGAATGCCGAGCTGTTGATGTTATGAATGTGTTGCCTACAGCCAACGGTGGAACCATTGAGCTGCTTTACATGCAGGTTAGTACATGGAAACTATTTGTGCTTTAGATTAAATGTTTTTTTTTTTGAATTAGTTGAAAGTAGTGACCATGACCACTATTCTCTTTGATTTTTGCAGCTCTATGCACCAACTACGTTGGCGCCACCACGAGATTTCTGGCTGTTACGTTACACCTCTGTTTTAGAAGATGGCAGCCTTGTGGTGTGTAGCTCTAAACATATGATATATCCTCTTTTTTATACAATGTCTTGATTTTCTTGTTTACTTTGATTCTTTTTTTCACACGGTGTAACAAATTTTGATAGGTGTGCGAGAGATCTCTGAAGAGCACTCAAAACGGTCCTAGTATGCCACTGGTTCAACATTTTGTTAGAGCAGAGATGCTTCCCAGTGGTTACTTGATACGGCCTTGTGATGGTGGTGGCTCGATCATACACATAGTGGATCATATGGATTTGGAGGTAACAGTCCTGACTTTGCATCAATCTCTCTATGCAAATCAATGCGTTGGAAAATATTAACCAAACTGTTTGGATATTTGTAGGCTTGTAGTGTGCCTGAGGTCTTGCGCCCGCTCTACGAGTCACCAAAAGTACTTGCTCAGAAGACAACAATGGCAGTAAGTGAACTTAAAAAAAGCTTGTTTATTCCTAACATTGCTTTCTGATGTTTTGAATTATTGTTCTTCAATGATGTTATATATATACTTTTTTCTTTCAAAGGCGCTGCGTCAGCTCAAACAAATTGCTCAAGAGGTTTCTCAGACTAACAGTAGTGTTAATGGCTGGGGAAGGCGTCCTGCTGCTTTACGCGCTCTCAGTCAAAGGCTAAGCAGGTTTGATATTCAATATTCATCACTATTCGTGTGGATGACTCTATATTTGTTGTCTAATGCATTTGTTTTTTTTCCTTACAGAGGCTTTAATGAGGCTGTTAATGGTTTCACCGATGAAGGCTGGTCGGTGATAGGAGATAGCATGGATGATGTTACCATCACTGTAAACTCTTCTCCAGACAAGCTAATGGGTTTGAATCTTACCTTCTCCAACGGCTTTGCTCCTGTTAGCAGTGTGGTTCTATGTGCCAAAGCCTCCATGCTCTTACAGGTACGTGAACCATTTTTTGTTCTACATCAAACTGATGTTTGTTCAACACATTTTCTTCTTTCTTCTTACTCTTTTTTTTCGGTTTCTTGCAACTACAGAACGTTCCTCCGGCGATCCTGCTTCGGTTTCTGAGGGAGCATAGATCAGAATGGGCAGACAACAACATTGATGCATATTTGGCAGCAGCTGTTAAAGTGGGGCCTTGTAGTGCCCGAGTTGGAGGATTCGGAGGTCAGGTTATACTTCCACTTGCTCATACTATTGAGCATGAAGAGGTCAGTTCAAGTTTCTTCTGTACTTGTTGATTGTTATTTTCATATCTCCATTATTTACGTTGAAGTAATGGTTGGTTCTTTTTGGTTATTAGTTCATGGAAGTCATCAAATTGGAAGGTCTTGGTCATTCCCCTGAAGATGCAATCGTTCCCAGAGATATCTTCCTCTTACAAGTAAGTACTTTAGATTGTATCGTCTCCATAAGTGTTAATGTGGATTCGCTGATGTCTGAATACATTCTTCTTGTGATTAGCTTTGTAGCGGAATGGATGAAAATGCTGTTGGAACGTGTGCTGAACTTATATTTGCTCCAATTGATGCTTCTTTTGCGGATGATGCACCTCTGCTTCCTTCTGGTTTTCGTATTATCCCTCTTGATTCCGCCAAGGTTAGAATAAATAATGTTCTCCAATCGAAGTTATCGTTCTAGGTTTTCAGTTTCTTGAAGCTTTTCTTGAACCTAAAAGCAGGAAATATCTAGTCCAAACCGAACCTTGGATCTTGCTTCTGCACTGGAAATTGGTTCAGCCGGAACAACAAAAGCCTCGACTGATCAATCAGGAAACACTACATGTGCAAGATCTGTGATGACAATAGCGTTTGAGTTTGGTATCGAGAGCCATATGCAAGAACATGTAGCATCCATGGCTAGGCAGTATGTTCGAGGTATCATCTCATCAGTTCAGAGAGTTGCATTGGCTCTCTCTCCTTCTCATATCAGCTCACAAGTCGGCCTACGCACTCCTTTGGGTACTCCTGAAGCTCAAACACTTGCTCGTTGGATCTGCCAGAGTTACAGGTAAACATATCACATTATCAATATGAACTAAGTTTTCCAACAAATCAAAGGATGGTTTCATTTTGTTCTGTTGATAATAGGTGCTACATGGGCGTTGAACTACTTAAATCGAACAGCGAAGGCAATGAATCTATTCTCAAGAACCTTTGGCATCATACAGATGCTATAATCTGCTGCTCAATGAAGGTACTACTAACACAACATCAAGCACATGAATGTTTTATCCACTGTTCCTTTATAACCTTTTGGGATTTGAATTTTTGTTTAGGCCATGCCCGTCTTCACATTTGCAAACCAGGCAGGGCTTGACATGTTAGAGACTACATTAGTTGCTCTTCAAGATATCTCTTTAGAGAAGATATTTGATGACAATGGAAGAAAGACTCTTTGCTCTGAGTTCCCACAGATCATGCAACAGGTTTTCAGAAACATTCTCTGTTTTTTTTTCATTCTTACCGAAATTGTTCCGTTCTATCGACTTACCAGGATCTTTGTTCTAGGGCTTTGCGTGCCTTCAAGGTGGTATATGTCTCTCAAGCATGGGGAGGCCAGTTTCATACGAGAGAGCAGTTGCTTGGAAAGTACTTAATGAAGAAGAGAATGCTCATTGTATCTGCTTTGTGTTCATCAATTGGTCCTTTGTTTGAGATTTTATTGTATTTTTGAATAATCTGTTTTCTTATCAGACGATACTTTTGCCTTTTGGTTGTATTGTTAAACGGTCTATGTTGTTGTTTCTTGATGTCGCTGTGAAAACACATTAACAGTATTTTGTTTGAAAACTCAAGAAATATTTGCTCTGTGTTTGATTATTATGAGTGATGATGATCTTTTTCTTTTTTGATTATGTAGTGCATTTAGCTTTCCAAAAATTTATTCAACATCTTTACAAAAATATTGCACATCACACAAATTATCTTTTTCGTTTCCTTTCCTTAAAATTATGGCAATCATTACACTCAACAATGACAATCTCTATCTGGTGCAGGTTTCTTTTTAGGATATGGTTGTTTTTTTAAACGGAAATTTTAGGTGTCTAATAAATTCAAATTCATCAAAAAGGTAAATTTTATAACCAAATATTTTAAGTCTATAATTTTATAGCTATGTATTTACTTATAACAGAATTTAATTTAACCCTTGATATGGTTCCATTTTGGCCAAAACTCAATGGAGTTGAATATTTCGAAACAGCAAAATTTATGATGAAATTGTGGGCTCATGCAAAAAAATTCATTTGTTTTAATTTGAATTCATTCTCCTTAAAAAAAATATTAAGAAAAGGATGCAACAACTATCTTACACATAAAGCAAGACCTATGAGATCCGTATATAGATTATATGGCTATTATACGTAGTGCAATCTAAAGTACAATAAAAGTTGATATATAAAAGTTTGTTATACCACTCTTCCACCTTAAATTGTATTTTTGCTTCTGCTTTTCCATTATTTGGCTTGATTATTATTATATGTACTAGTATTATTCCCGGTGCATAGCACCGGAAAAAACATCATTTGCCTGTATTTTTCTTCAAAAAAAAGTGAGATATATAAAATTTAAAATAAACAAAAAACTCAATAAAGATTTGAATTTGTTTTTTATTTTTTCTCAGGTATTAAGAACTGATAGAAGCAGAATAGTATATATATAGTATTTTACGTGTAAATAAAAACATGAAGTTGCCATCAAAATTAAGAATTTCAATAAAAGATTAAATTTCTCGAGAAAACGAAAAGAAAATGTGAAATTCCAAAACATACTCAAACTCTATTGAACTCATATACTTTTCGATCTATGCAGTGTTTTAAAAAAAGCAACATATCAAATTCTGCATTAATGAACTGTCAATTTTATGAATGTAAATCGAAAACCGTCCCAAATTATCAAAGTAGATTGGATTTTTTAACAGCACATTAGCACATATCTTATTTCATGATTGTTAAAATGCTAATAACCATTCCTGAAAACTATGAATGAGTTTTATTTTCACTGGATGAATAACACCAAAAGATATTAAGAAGAAATCAGAAAAAAGGAAAAAAAAAACAGAGTTTCAAACTACAGGTTTACAAACACAGTGGTAATAACATAGATAGAACATATAAATCGGTCATCTATTTATTAATAGATTTACTTTGGATTAAATGATTTTAAGATATATATGACTTGAAGATGGTGAATGGTGAAACTGTGAAAGTGGAAAGTTGGAAGAATCGTGGGTAGAGATGAATAAAATAAATATGATTTTTTTTTTTTTTTTTTTTGGTATTTTAATTTAAAAAAAAAAGAGAATTTTGACCAAACAAAATAAAATAAAATTGATTATAAAAATATAAATGATACATGTAAAACTTACAATTGGCAACTGACTTGTGCTTTATAAATATAAAGATATATTTAATGATCACATTCTTATGTTAAACTAAATCCCTCACGAAATTCATGATTACATATTTACATGCTTGTTTTAGTGATCGTATATCAAAGACTAATTAACACGTAGGCATGTCCATTTGATTACATCAAAAGGTCTTAATCTATCGTATTTCGTATACTTGTTGTAATTTCATTCTTATAAAGCTATATATTAATATATTTGCCAAAATATATCTATCTAACGTAAAATATAATAAATTTGAAATTAATCTTGAAAACTATTTACCCTAGAAATAGAATCTTGATTATTTAAAAAACAATACAACCTAACAAAAGAAACATGTAATCTAAAATATAAAGCTTGGAATATATTAACTAAATTGGTTATATCATCTTTAAAGTGACATGGATTCAATAATTCTGGTCCAATAAGCTTTTCTTTTGTATTAATAATCTTTTGTATAATCTTGCACGTTTTAGCACCTCTCTCTCAATCTTCCTTTATAAACCCCTCACATCTCTTCTCCTTAGCTCATAAGTAATCAAACTCCAAAAAATAATAATACAAATCTCTCTAAAAGAAACACTAAAGATCGATGGATCAAAACGTACCAATAAGCAAGAAACTATGGAACATCGTACGTTTTCTCTTGTACATGATCCGCAAAGGTGTCTCAAAGCATAAAGTCGTCGCCGACTTCAACGCAACTCTCAAACGCGGCAAGAACCTCATGTTCCACCACCGTCGTCGTGTCCCAGCCGCCTCCACCTCTGATGCTCTACACGCTGCTTCATCTACCGCCGCAACCGCAGCTCTACGTAAGGAATACGAGTTTAGCTGCAGCAACACTCCAAACTACTCTTTCCCATTTCCCAATATTGCTTTCATGAAGAAAAAGAGTCACAATAGTCTCTTCGCGTGTGGTCAATCGCCTCAAACGCTCGACGACGACGTAGCCGCGGCTAGAGCCGTTCTTGAGCTTCTTCACGGCGTTGGAGACAAAGGAAACGCCACGCCGGCGGATTTATCGGCGGCTTTGTCTCCTTACTTTCCCGGGTTTGGACGGACTCCTTTGGTGAGGCCGTTAAGAGTAACTGACTCACCGTTTCCGTTAACCCCGGAAAATGGTGACGTGGCAAACGGGCACGTGGACGAAGCGGCTGATGATTTCATAAAGAGGTTTTACAAGAATTTGAATCAGCAGAAAAAGATGATTGAGTTCAGCTAATTTTAATCTAATCAGTGTGTTTCTTCTTCATATGTATTTCCCTTGTTCCTTAAATATTTCTTTTACTCTTTTTTTTTCTTCTTCTCCTTTTTGCTGATTAAATGCCAAAGATGTAATGATATTTTTGGGGGATTTTTATTTACGCATTTCTTGAAACAATTGGATATTATAAATAATAAAGATATCATCGGTTTTATGAGCTTAAATTTATAACTGTTATGTGAAAATTTGTAGTGGCTGAAACAAAATTGGTTTCAAGGAAATTAATCAATATTTGGATCCACAAATTTTCACAACGACACCCAAAATGTGTTGCAATTAAAACTAGTTATTTGTTTTCTAGTGAATGCTTTTTTTTCCCCTTCATCCAATGAATACTTCAACAAGAGATCTCTTTAGCTTTTCAAGTTGTTTAAAAGTAGCCACTTTAAAAATATTTAACACTTTAATATACAAACTGTAAGCAAATTTTGTATTATCTGTGGTGACTGGAATAACATTACTTACTATATTATTAAGAAAGACTACTATTTCAGAAAAACAGAGGACTCCAATAATAATGTTTTGGTAAAATAATCCAATGACATACTATAATTTTCATGGTTTGTTTTTGCTTAATGACATTTTTCATAATTATATGACAAATAAAAATATTACACTTGTATAATTTTAAATTCGCTTTTTTATCTGTTTTGTTGTCTCAAATAAAGACATGGGCAATATTCTCCGTATCGTACTTTGATTAGCATCTAGAATCTACCATCTCGTACGGTTTGAATCTTATAAGGTTTTAATTATTTGCATGTCATGACTCCAAAATAGTCCCAACCAAGCTTACCTCTATTATTTGCATATTATTTAATGACACCTCGAGGTTACAATCTCATTTCTTATTAGTCATTTAAAATCCCGAATCTATGTATAGTCATCATATGAATTTTTACGGTAGGTAAATTTGCGCAATCTCACTTTCCAAAAACTTTTACTCACTGAAAACATGCTTAGAAAATTATATTGTGGTGATAATATAATACAACTTTGATGAAACAAAACACGAAACTTAAAGTGGACATTGCAAGCTGTTTGGCTCTTTCCCTAAAGCAAAAGAGAGAAAAGTACTTTCTTTTCCAACTTTATTTCTTTAATTTCCTTTACTTCTTTTAATTTTCTTTTATAATATATATTCACGAGTTTGAATTCATAGTCATAGTAATCAGCCAATTGCGTATCAAAACAACAACTCTACCACTATCAAGAAAAGCTTATATATGGCAGAGTCAATAAAAACTTCTTTCGTAAGTCACTATTTTCATCTTTTTAGATTCTAAAAATCAAGAATGAAGAGCAAGGTTCTAAACTATTCTTTCCTTAGTTGGGATATAAAAGTGATTAGGACAATTAGATAATTATGCATGGGTTTGACACAAATACATACATGATATATATACTGAAATTATGTTGCGCCAATAAACAGACGAGAATATTTTATCTTACGCTAGCTTTAATGGCTGTAAAATCTTCCAACGGACTAATCTTAGCAGCTTAAGCTTTAATAGAATCGTGAAAGCTATATCATTAAACGAGTACGGAAACAATTAAAAGAAATAATATCCAAACATTCAAAAGAGAGCTGCATTTAGAATTGTTATTTGAAGGACCAAGATAAAGCTTTCTCAAATTATTTGGATCATCTCAAAGAAAAACTAGCTAGTGTAGCAGCTTTTGTGCTGGTAATGACCTTTTTAGGGTTTCATTGAACATGTGTGAGAGACTCAGAGATATACTTCCAAATAATATATGTGAGATTCTCATTGGATAAGGACATCTTCTTTCCTATTATATTGTTACTGTTAATCATCTGTAGAGACTGTGTATAATCTGAGTAGGACAAAATATTTGCTCCAATCTCATATGGATTTCCAACATTAATAAACAAAACTAGAAAATGGAAGATTAAACCATGGCCCGGGCCGATCCGGCCCATTATATTCACCAAACGATTTCCTCAGAACTCTGAAGCTTGGTGGATGTTAAAAAGAG